TCCTGCCTCTCTGCCTACGTGTGATCTCTGTCTGTCACATAAATAAATAAAATCTTTAAAAAAATAGTTTTCTCAAGTTCAGGAAGTAGGTACTGTTAGCATTCTCCTTCTATGGATGAAGAAACAGATTCAAAGAGTGAGAGTGACTTATCTGAGGTCATTTGGTAAGAAGGTAGCAGAATGGGTTCAAACCCGGGATTGTGTAACCCCTTGATGACTCCTGGTGACCTCAGTGTTTCCTGGGAGCCTCAACTGGAGGGCCTCCTTAGAAGGGAAGGGGATTGTGGAGGGGAGCCCAGGGTGGGGCTGCTCTAGGGAGGCTTTTCTGGAGAGATCTTTTGTGTCAGCCTCAGCATGACCTTTACCCTTCTCTTTCCAGAGAACTCCAAAGGCTGAGTTCCAAGTTCTGGACATGGTAGACTCAAAGGGAATGTTGACAGTGAAATTACCCAAAAAAATAACAATTGTAGGGGCCTTCCTGAGTCAAGATACTGGAGACCCGGATACCCCAACAATATCTGGATTCCCTTGAGCACAGGGAGACTGGAGTTGGGCAGCATGGGGACGGAGAGGGGGAATACCTGTTTTGGGGCACCAAGGGCGTTTGAGGTGGAGGTGTCCTGGCTGGTGCAGCCCCTCACGCCGTACCCCCAACACCTCCCAGAGCCCGCTCCTCACTCAAGCCTGCCCTCTTCTTCCCCTTTCAGAAAACCTTCTCATTCTATCTGGATCAGCCTCCAGGAAAACTTCTGACACCCCCAACTCACTCGCATCCTGCTACCCTCCAGGGCGACTGATGGCTCTGACTTGGACCAAAACCTGCTGGTTTCATGAGGCCACTCTCCTTTGTTCTCCCACCGAGTTGCCCAGATCCATGTTTTGTACAGCTTCACTCTGCCTTGTGGCCAGCCAAGCCCCCTCCCTCAGGGGCATAGGAACAGCTCGTGACCTTGACCGGGCGGGACTGGCTTTATCAACCTCTCTGTGTTTATCCCCAGCGCACAGTAGGTGCTCAGTAAGACAGCAGAAGCGAAGTGCAGTGAAATCAAAGCCCCCCTGCACAGAATGTTTCCTGCACAGAAAGTGCCAGCACCCCACCCCAGGCGCTGACCAAGTGCCACAGAGGTTCTGATGGCTGAGGCCACAGTGCTTCCGAGGGACTTACAGGGACATGGCCGGCCTTCCCCTGCAGCTGCTATTTTGTTGGTGTGGGTGTTTTCTTTCCTAGCTGAAGTTGTCGGAAAGTGTGGAGCAGCTCAGTGGAAGAGACTCAACCTTGCTCCAGGGCTAGCCCTCCCCAGTGTGGTGAGGCCTTTGGTTTTCCCTTTTTAGTTCAAAAGTAAAAGGCTTACACTGAAATTTCACTGGTCCTTTGAACTACCCCCGCTATCAAAGTGTTGCTGGGGAGGGGTGTTTGGAGTTTTTCTAAGGGGGCTCAGTTTCTTTCTAGAGTGCTTGTTGTTTCTAGAATGAGGCTCTGTGGGGTGTGTATACAGAATTGGGGGGAGGCTCTTTTTTTTTTTTTTTTTTTTTTAAAGTTTATTTATTTCACAGAGAGAGATCACAAGCAGGCAGAGAGAGAGATAGAGGAGGAAGCGGGTTCTCTGCGGAGCAGAGAGCCCGATGCGGGACTCGATCCCAGGACCCTGAGATCATGACCTGAGCCGAAGGCAGAGGCCCAACCCACTGAGCCACCCAGGCGCCCTGGGGGGAGGCTCTTAGGTAGAGGGTGTTTAGCAGAGGCAAGGATGAAGGTCTTCCTGGAGGGTCTTTTGGTTGCAAATTTGGATGGAGTTCCTTCAAGCTATTTTTATAGGCTTAGGGGGTCAAGGATGTTTTCTGGAGCCCAAGGCTGTGGACAATGTGGCCAGGTCCCAGGGACCAGTGTGAGGAATTGGAGCCCCATCTCAGAGAGGTGGGTGTTATGGCCTGGGAAAATGCCTATCCCAGTGCCATGGGAAGGGCCATGCTTTGGACTCATACAGACTACGGTTTGAATTCCAACTTCGCACTTACTAGCTGTGTGGCCCTGGGCCATTCACAACCTGTCTCTAGACCTGTCTCAATTTCCTTATGAGAAATGGGTGCAGTTCTGCCTGCATCATAGGACTGTGGTGAGGGGGCAATGAAATGACGTGGGAAGTCTCTCCTGGTGCTGGCACACCGTAATCTTCCAGAGATGCTCGTGAGTTCCCTTCCCACTTCCCACCTCCTTGCCCCCACCGTGGGGACAGTGAACTATGATGGGGTGCCATGTGGCTTGGTTTTCCAGCTTCAGAGACCCTCAGTCTCAAATAGGAACTAGCTGATGGAGAAAGAGCAATGGCACTGGTAGGTGGGGCTCCTGGGATCCTGAGCTCTGATCCCCGCCTCCACTCCCTCCAGGAAGCAGAGAAGAAGACTACCTACTTTATTGCAATCAGTCCGGAAAAGGAGAGCAGACCTGTATCTGGTGACAGGAGACTCTGGAGATGGCAAGGAAGGAAACCCTGAAAAGGGAAGGCAGTGTACACAGCAGAGCCGGAGGAACACAAGGTTAGGATCCTGGGAGGCAGGGCCTATGAGAGAACCAAGCCTTGGCCCACCTGTGGTAGGCCAGGGGTGCCAGCCCAGACCCCTGGCTCTTCAGGTCTTCTTCCAGACTTCCCTGAGCAATCTCAACTGCTCCTTGGCCTCCTTAGGCCTCCTCTTCTCGCCCCAAGAGAGCGTGTGTGGCATTGCTAAGTCCCTCCACTGTTATTCTCCTGTGATGCCCTGTTTTCATTTGCTTCTCAGAGTTTCTCACGGTTCATAATTACATGGGGATTTTTGCTTATTGTCTGCCTCCCTTTCTGAGAGACAGGAAGGCAGGAGCCACATCGCCTGGAATAAAAAGGTCCTTAATAACCATTTATTGAATCAACAGTGGAAACAACATGAGTTTTGGGGTCAGGTGCGGGTTCATATTTCAGCTCTGCTCCTGTTTTAGCTGTGAAACTGGCTTACCTACTGGTCCCTTTTTTTTTTTTAAGATTTTATTTATTTATTTAACAGAAAGAGATCACAAGTAGGCAGAGAGGCAGGCAGAGAGAGAGGAGGAAGCAGGCTGCCTGGCTGAGCAGAGAGCCAGATGTGGGGCTCGATCCCAGGACCCTGAGATCATGACCTGAGCCGAAGGCAGAGGCTCTAACCCACTGAGCCACCCAGGCGCCGCCCCCCCGCCCGCCTTTTTTTAAAAAGATTTTACTTATTTGACAGAGAGTGCAAGTGCCCGCCCTGTGCACTTGAATGGGGGAAGGGACAGAGGGAAAGGGAGGAGCAGACTCCCAGCTGAGCAGGGGGCCCAACTGTGGGTGATCCCAAGACCCTGGGTTCATGACCTAAGCCAAAGTCAGATCTCATCCCTCTGAGCCATCCAGGCGCCCCCACTGATCTGTTTTGATTTTCAGTTTTCTCATCTGTAAAAGTGGAATTGTTTGGGAGATCTAGCAAGATAACCTGCAAAGCACCCAAGGATTAATCAGTATGAGCTTTTTTTTCCTAACACCAAAGGTCAGTGACCAACCCCCTAAAGGGGGTCCTGGGCTGTCAGTCTTCCTCAACATGGGGAGAATGAGTAAGCAAGACGCGGTGGGGGCAGGGTGGGGAGGATAGGTTCAGCTAGGCTCTGCCTCAGCCTGGAGGGGCCCTGGTGAGCTTAAAGGTGAGGGGAAGTTCCAGGGAAGGGGGAGGGTTCAGGGCTAGGTAGGAGGACTGAGGCTTCTTGCTCAGATACCCAGGATTTGCCCCACCATAACCCTAATCCTTCCCTAGCTAGAGGTGTTAACACCTGTCTCTTTCTGAGTTTGTTTTCATTTTTTGTTTTGGTGAGGGGCAGGGTGTGAGGACTGGGGAGAGACGTGAAAGAGGAACTTACAGAGAAAGAACTTGTCTTTCTGAGAACTGGTTCTCTCTCTCTCTCTGGCACTAGTTTAGATATTTGTTTCTTGGGCAACACAAAATCCTTTCCAGAAGGTGAGTGGCTTCAAGGCCTTCTGTTCATCATTCCAGAATGGGCAAGGATACCGTTTTTAAAAAGAGGATAACAAATGGCCCGGAATTATACGGTTCTTAGGGTTGAGCATGGAATAGGGTGCACCCAGGGGTGGGAACCATAGTATGGGCAGGAAAAAACCCCTGCGTGTTGCAGAAGCAGGTTGGATTGCATGTTGGCCTGGGGTTTCCAGGCTCTGACAACCTTGACTTGCTTTGTGTAGGTCAGTATGCTGGGTCCTGGGTTCCCAGCCCTTACTGAAGGCTGAGAGGCCTGGGAAGCACAATTAAAGTCCAGTTCTTACATAGCACTGGCTGTGAAGAGACCATTGGAACTGGGAGTGAGAGAGATTCAGGGTCTTGTGGCTCTGCCACTCACACTCTGTAACCTCCTAAGCCTTGGTTATCCTGACTTTCACACAGTGGGTTAGACTCGATGATTCCTGTGATTCTGAATGTGGCTTCCTCTGGAATTTCAGATTCTTCCCCTGGATCCCAAAAGAGCTGTACTGCCTAAGAGGCCCTCAGTAGGGGTTGAGGGAGGTCTAGATAGGGTAGAAAATTCAAGAAACTCCCAGAAGCTGCAGCATGCACTTTGAATGGCAAGGACTAAATAAGTTTTGATTTCCTGGAGATGGAGAAGAATTTGGGGTTGGTACTAGACTGGGGGTGAGCTGGGAAGATGGAGGTGGGGTTAGCAGGAGGCAGTGATGGTGGGTGTCTAGGAAGAAGGATGCTTTTATTTTAACAGGAAAATATTAGAAGAAGGAAAGAGACAGAAAAGTGGTCTCATGAAGAATGGGGCCTTGGTGATAATGGAACTTGTTGGCTGGGTAGGTCGAGTTTTTTTTTTGTTTTTTTTTTAAAGATTTTTATTTATTTATTTGAGAGAGAGAGAGAACACAAACAGGGGGAGCAGAGGCAGAGGGAGAAGCAGACTCTGTACTGAGCAGGGAGCCTGATGCAGGGCTGGCGATCATGACCTGAGCCAAAGGCAGCTGCTTAACCGCCTGAGCCACCCAGGCACCCCAAGGGTAAGTAGAGCTCTTAATTGCTGTCTCTACAGGGAAGTCCTTGAGTTTAGAGGATTTCAGAAACATGAAGGAGGAGGACATGGTGAGGGGCCTCTAGGATCTGACTGAGAAGGAACAAAAAGATGTGCTAAGCTGCCTCAGAGGGCAGTTGCCCCTCTACTAGAGTGGGACTGGTGTCATCTCCCCCATTTCCTGCCCCTAGGTGTTGGAGGTCCTGATCTCTGGTGACCTACAGATGGAGGGTCTAGCAGGTCTTCTCATGAGTAGCTTTTTTAATGCTGCCGGGTTCTTGGTAAAGGCACATACGGGATCCATTCTGGATATCTTGGATGCTTTGATTAGTGAGGAGGGATGTGGCTGTATGCTGATGGAGGAATTGCCGAGCAGAGGGGTCTGTGGGGATTCAAATCCTAGGAGGAAGGGGGCATACATTGCCGTTTACATTTTGTGCAGGATAGACCCTCACATTTTAGAACCTTGCCATTTTCCCCAGGCCAGGGATTAGGGGGTACCTACTCTACCTCCTGGCACAGTCTGACCTCCTGCAGGCTAAGAGGGGAGCAGGGGGCACAGCAAGAGCCCATTTGGAATAGCGCTCATCTGTCACTGCCAGGGGCGCTCTGGAACCTCCTTCTGATGCTTGTCCTGGGGCTGATGAGACCCTGAAGCCCTGTCCCACTGTGTGCTTGTCCTCTCTGCCAGCTGCCCTCTTCACCTTCTTTTTTTGCCTCCAGAGCTGTCTGAGGAGCAGCATCGTGTGGCTGAGGCCCTAGCGAGGGGGACCCTGCCCCTGCTGAAGGACCAGGTAAGACAGCCTGGGCTGAGGGCCAGGGCCAGTAGAAGTGAATACCTGTGCTCTCAAGGGACTCAGAAGACCCAAGGACAGTCTTTCCTATTTCATAGTTCTCTGTTAATTTGCATCTATTCAGCTGGTCTGTGGCAATTCCCTGCAACACTTGGTTTCCAAGACAACTTGGGGTGGGCTTTTTAGACTGTTGCTAGCCTATGGGCAGGGGACGGGGCGAGGGGGCGCGCAGAAAACTGTTGTCCCAGGATGGCAGTGCCAACACTGATTAGCAGTGCCTGTCACTATGTTTAGAGGATATGAGACTCTCCAGGATCTGCAGGAAAAAGTGGCATAATAGATTACTACATCTGCCAGGGCCCAGGATTAAGAAGTGTGGCCAAGTATTTGCCATTTCTAGTATGATTCCTTGTTCTAGCTTTGCAGTCTGGTGTGTTTCTTTCCAGGTAGAATCTGTCCTGGAGCAGAACTGAAATGAGCAGCCCCGTGATGTGGGCTGAGACCGTGACACACGACTTCTCTGTGCCCTCTGTGTTGCTCTCTCCCTCCTGCTGCAGCTGGGTGAGAAGCTGACCTCCGTGCCTTCCTAACTGTTTGTTAGCCCTTAAACCATTCTCCTCACAAGCCCCTGGGGGCTCCCCTCCCAGGCCATCCCTGTCCCCCACCCCCAGTCACCGGAATGCTGTCTTTATAACAGACAGCCGACTATTCTTCAATATATCATGTTCCCTACATGAGAATGTCCAAAAATCAACCCGGATTATATGCATGAGCTTCTGACTAAAAGTGGCAGATTGGTCATATTAATTTTCTCTCCCTCTTGAAACTCACTAAATAAAGTAAAGCAATAGGAAAGATGTAAACCCACAATGATAAAGAGAATGAGGCAGCAGATAAGAGATTCTGACACATCTTTAGAAACTAGAAGGCAATTACAGGCATTCAAGCCAGGAGGTGTGGGCCTGAGAGGAGCAGGAGCGTGGGAGGAGACTGCTGTTCCCTCATCACGAACCTTTTATCTTTAATATTTTTTAAGACGAGGTAATTAAAAGTAAAAGAAATATATGCTTGTTGTAAAGTATTTCACATACTGCTCACGGTCAAAGGTGATCTCCCCTTCTTCTTCTGATATAACCACTGCTGACCTTTTTGAGCGACTTTTTAACAGTCTTCCTGTGAAGCAGTGTCTACAATGGTAATTTAAACACGAAGCTAGGATGATATAACAAATTTGATTTCTATCTTTGGTACTTAAGTTGTTTTTTCTTTTAGATTGGTAAAAATACTATATGCAACAGGAATTCTCATAAGTGCTGTTGGGAGTGAACTGCTTTAGCGAACTGTTTGACGGTGTCTACTAAAGCTAAACTCGTGCCTGCGAGCCGGCCCCTCTACTTCCTAGGCACATACCAAAGAGGAAGCAGTGTGCGTCTCCGCCTAAAGACACGCATATACAAAAACATGAGCACAGGGGCGCCTGGGTGGCTCAGTGGGTTAAGCCACTGCCTTCGGCTCGGGTCATGATCTCAAGGTCCTGGGATCGAGTCCCGCATCGGGCTCTCTGCTCAGCGGGGAGCCTGCTTCCCTCTCTCTCTCTCTCTGCCTGCCTCTCTGTCTACTTGTGATCTCTCTCTGTCAAATCAATAAATAAAATATTTAAAAAAAAAAACAAAAACCATGAGCACAAGAGCCCCAAGCTGAACACTACTCAAATGTCCGGTGACTTTAGGATGGATACATATATTGTGGCATATTTATGCAAGAAGAGAGAGCAAGTTACTGCTACACATAACAATATAGATGACTCACAGACACAGTGCTGAGCAAATCACTCTAGACACTAAAGAACATATTTGAGTTCTCTGAGGAGATGACAAAATAGAATTGGATGCGCAAACGTCATAGTAACGGAAGTGACTGTGAAGAATAAAGGGAGAGGGAGGAGGAATGGCAAGCCTTCGACGAAGGTCTAAAACCTAAGAAAGGAGAGAAGGAGGGAAGGATTGAGTAAGAAGAGTCTCAGACTGCCGGCAGTTCCGAGAGTCTCTTTGCTCAGCCGAGTCCCCATCAGGCAGGACTGGCCAGGCTCTAATGTCCACCCCAAGCTCAGCCTTTGGCTGGAAGCAGCCCAGGGAAGCCTGGTCTCAGGAGGGAGATGTACAAGGGAGCAGACAGAGCTTCTTAATCAGCTGTGCTTCCTGCAGCAGGTTCCCCTAAAGAAAATCCTCCCTGGCCACCACAGTACTGTATGATCCCATTATATGAGGTTCAAGAGCAGGGAAAAACTAAGCAATGGTGGTAGAACTCAAAATAGTGGTTATCTTAGTGGAATAGTCTTAACTGAGAAGAGGCATGAGGGAATCTTCTAGGGTGCTGGAAATATATAAAGATTTGTTGTGCTAACATTTATGATCCGTATACTTCACTATATTTTATATCAATTAAAAAAAGTTTAAAAAAGTACATAGTATATAATTCCATGTAAATGAAGTGAAAACCGAGCAAAACTAAATGATAGTGGTAGAAGTCAGAATAGTGGGGGCAGTATTGGCTTGGAAGGGGCATGAGGGAATCTTCTGGGGCATTGGAAATATTTTATGACTTGATCAGGATAGTGGTTATGTGGATGTTTACATGTATATAAATCTAATAAGACATACATTTAAGATCTGGGCACTTTAAGTTTGTTTTTAACTTCATCTTACTGCAAGATTTTTTTTTAACCTCAATAAAAAATTTAATTTAAAAACATTGATTACACATGAAAACATACTTGAACAAAAAAATATAAAAAATTTAAAATTTCCTATCAAATCCCTTTACCCTTTGACATGGTCCCACTTTCTTTAGTCACTAAACTTTAGATTTTGTTATTTAGTTTTAGTTTTTGTTATTATTACAACTAAAAATGATATTCTTATATTTGTTCTTGAGTTATTAATTTTATTTTATAATTTTTAAATTTTTAAATAAACATATAATGTATTATTAGCCCCAGGGGTACAGGTCTGTGAATCGCCAGGTTTACAGACTTCACAGCACTCACCATAACACGTACCCTCCCCCATGTCTATAACCCCACCACCCTCTCCCTGCCCCCCCCACCCCCCAACCCTTAGTTTGTTTTGTGAGATTAAGAGTCTCTTATGGTTTGTCTTCCTCCTGATCCCATCTTGTTTCATTTATTCTTTTCCTACCCCCCAAACCCCCACGTTGCATCTCCACTTCCTTATATCAGGGAGATCATATGATAGTTGTCTTTCTCTGATTGACTTATTTCGCTAAGCATAATACCCTCTAGTTCCATCCACGTTGTCGCAAATGGCAAGATTTCATTTCTTTTGATGGCTGCATAGTATTCCATTGTATATATATACACCACATCTTTTTTTTAAATTTTTAAATTTTTTATTTTTTTTAAATTTTATTTTTTATAAACATATATTTTTATCCCCAGGGGTACAGGTCTGTGAATCGCCAGGTTTACACACTTCACAGCACTCACCATAGCACATACCCTCCCCAATGTCCATAACCCCACCCAGCCTCTCCCAACCCCCCTCCCCCCATCAACCCTCAGTTTGTATTGTGAGATTAAGAGTCACTTATGGTTTGTCTCCCTCCCAATCCCATCTTGTTTCATTTACTCTTCTCCTACCCGCTTAACCCCCCATGTTGCATCTCCTCTCCCTCATATCAGGGAGATCACATGATAGTTGTCTTTCTCCGATTGACTTATTTCGCTAAGCATGATACCCTCTAGTTCCATCCACGTCGTCGCAAATGGCAAGATTTCATTTCTTTTGATGGCTGCATAGTATTCCATTGTGTGTGTATATACCACATCTTCTTTATCCATTCATCTGTTGACGGACATCTAGGTTCTTTCCATAGTTTGGCTATTGTGGACATCGCTGCTATAAACATTCAGGTGCACGTCCCCCTTTGGATCACTACATTTGTATCTTTAGGGTAAATACCCAGTAGTGCAATTGCTGGGTTGCAGGGTAGCTCTATTTCCAACTTTTTGAGGAACCTCCATGCTGTTTTCCAGAGTGGTTGCACCAGCTTGCATTCCCACCAACAGTGTAGGAGGGTTCCCCTTTCTCCACATCCTCGCCAGCATCTGTCATTTCCTGACTTGTTAATTTTAGCCATTCTGACTGGTGTGAGGTGGTATTTCATTGTGGTTTTGATTTGTATTTCCCTGATGATGAGTGATGTGGAGCACTTTTTCATGTGTCTGTTGGCCATCTAGATGTCTTCTTTGCAGAAATGTCTGTTCATGTCCTCTGCCCATTTCTTGATTGGATTATTTGTTCTTTGGATGTTGAGTTTGCTAAGCTTTTTATATATTTTGGATACTATCCCTTTATCTGATATGTCATTTGCAAATATCTTCTCCCATTCTGTCAGTTGTCTTTTGGTTTTGTTAACTGTTTCCTTGAGTTATTAATTTAAGATAGTATTTATTGAAGAAGAATATTGGGAAGAACAGACATTGAACAAGAAGTACAAAATAGGAAGAATGTTATTTTAAAAATGCAGGGTACTAATGGAAGTGGTTACTGAAAGACAATAGGATGATCCCCACTTAGCTCTGACATTGTCCCCTTCCTGCTTCCTTAAATTATGATTCCAGCTACACCAAACTGTTGGCCTTCTATTTGAACATCTATTTGTACAATGACATATTTGCTTGCTTATTTATTTATTTATTTATTTATTTATATTTTTGGAAAAAAATTGTAAGTTATTTATTTATTGAAGTGATCTCTATGCCCAATGTGGGGCTGAAAGCCATGACCCCGAGATCAAGAGTTGCATGCTCTTCTGACAGCCAGCCAGGTGTCCTCACATTTCCCCACCTTACCCATCCTTTAAGCTACAGTTCAAATATCTCTTCTTCAGTAGTCACCCCATTACTGAAAGAACTGGATTACTTCTGTATGGCCCATAACACATTGAATACATCTCTACTATGGCATTCATCATTATTGGACTGAAATTATTAGTACATATGTCTGTTTCACTAATGTGAACGTTTCTGGAGAACAGGGTTTAAACCTAACTTTTCTTTGCTAGGGTTCTGTAAACAATTTTCTTCAGAAGTACCCTTGAGTTGGGGGAAGTTTGGGAGACATATCCAGAATTTCATGAGGCTGGCTCAACCTCAGAACCACCAGTTGCCACTAAAAATTTTTATTCTGTCCTCTCAGAGTCTCAGCAAGGGACTACTTGTCTAAGGGAGATTAAACTGACCCAGAAACTTGAGGTTCATATTTAATCTGCTGATTTCCCTTAACTCACATTCCTGATTCCAGTATGAAATTCAGTACATTAGGGGTGGGGTGTCTGGGTGGCTCAGTGGGTTAAAGCCTCTGCCTTCGGCTCAGGTCATGATCTCAGGGTCCTGGGATCGAGCCCCACATCGGGATCTCTGCTCAGTAGGGAGCCTGCTTCCTCCTCTCTCTCTCTGCCTACTTGTGATCTCTGTCTGTCAAATAAATAAAATCTTAAAAAAAAAGAAATTCAATACATTAACTGCCTATGTCTGTAAGGAATTTCCTGTTCTAGCAGCTGAAACTGTGATAGAGATGGCTTTGGGTGGGGGGCAGTTGGGATTGTCATTATTTGAGCTGGGAGAGATGTGGGAGATTCCACCAACTCTTACTCATTCTTCAGAACTCTTAGCTCGAGCAATACCACTTCTGATAGTTTCTGTATCTCTCCAGGCTGAGTTAGAGACCTCTAAACACACTGTGCTTACACTTTTGGGAAGGAAACCCTTTTGGAGAAATGCTAGTTAAGCCAGCTTAACTATGCTGGCTTATCCTATGGAGTTGGATATCTTGGATAAAGGGGAAAGCTACTTTGTAGGAGACAAATCAAAGAATTTATTGATTTTGCTCCTAAAATGGAGATGAGGGACAGTGAAAGGAGAGAGAAGGAGGGAGAGAAGCACAAGCAAGAAAGAGGCTGCAACTATGTGAGGCAGTAAAAACTTCTAGATATGAGATAGGTGAAGAACATTCAAGAATGGCGATACCAAACTTGTTTCTGGAGAACAGGGTTTAAATTCAGCTAGATTATTTGCTCTAGCTCTCCTATGCAAAACAATTTAAAATGCTGGATAA